CTTCTCTCAAACACTGTTTCAACTCTATTCAGTCCATTGTTACTTCAAAACCATTTTAATATTTTTCATTATATAAAAGCTGTTCCTCCATGAAATTAATGATATTCATATTAAAAAAAACAGTTGATGTTTATCAAGAATAAAAAAAAAATCCCTGAGACAAATGGGGAGACTCAGGAATTCTCCCTTTTTTTATTCCAAGCAAGCCAAGGAAGCTCCAGTATATGTACATATAGCATATATATATTTAACTGATCATCTATAAGAAAATACATACATTCAATTAAAATAAATACTATACTATAGGTATGTGGCAAAGACTAATTTTGTGGGGTAAAATTCCATCAGAAAGTTTGCTCAAGTTTTAGTTTTTTCCAAAGCATTTGAATCATAGAGCCTACTTTTTAAAATACTAAAACAAATACTTTGGGCTTATTGTGTAAACAGCCAAGTTATCATGGTGCATATACCTCTCGTTACAGCTACTCCCTATTCAGAACATCAGAATAAAGACAGAAATAAGACTGCAAATACAGCTTCAGTTTGATTTCATACTGAAATACCCAGTAAAGGTCCTCTTTGGTAGGCTGGTTGTACTAGCAAAACAAAACAAAATTTATTATTATCATATTCATTCAATACTTAATATGTGCCAGTCAACGTTCTAGGACTTTTGTACATACAATTTCCTTGATGATCTCAAGAACTCCATCAAGTAGGTAGATAAAGAACCTGAGTCTAAGTCACATGCCCAAGGCTACACAGCTCATGAATGAAAGGTCAGAATTCAAATATCTTCTTTTGGACTTTGAGATCTTGTTCTTAACCACCATATGTGTTTACTATTCATAACAGTATCTATTACCCGACTTAGATGAGAAAACTGAGGTTCAAAGCTCAGTACCCTATTCGAAGTTTTTCTTCTATGGAGTCATCCACTGAAAATTAAATCAGGTTCGAAATTATTAAATCAGGTTCTCCTTCAAATCACCCTTCCAAATTACACTCTGCCACTAATCACTGTGATTGGGACACCTTGTAAAGCCACTATTCTTTGTTTTTATCATTTATATTCAACTTATTTCCTTGATTATAAAAAGAATAATATGTTGAAACCAATAAAAACATATGTTTCATTCCTACAGTAATCAAGAAAAAGTGGTTCTGGCTGGAAAAAGCATTAAAAAAATGCCCTGAGTTATTTTTGGCCCATACGGTATCCCCAAGACACGTTCTCCCTGTGGACACAGAGCAGCATATGGCTGTTCTTTTCACAATTCAGGCTCTTCTGTTTACTCTGAACCTCTAGGTTACAGTATGTTTTGTAATCACTAATAAGGACCACCTGCCTCTTGAGAGTTTCTGCCTAACAAAATAGAGAGACTCGTTCGTTCTAATTCACTCTCAGGTAGACAATACACCCCTCATGTGTGGGCCGAGATTACTGAGTAGAAAACTTAAACAAATTATGCTGATTGTATTGCTAAATTAAGAACATATGTCAGTTTCATAAAAAGAAAAAAGAAACAGTAATGTTTGGAACAATAAAGACAATGCTTTGGAGGAAATGAAATATCTAATATATTTTCCAGGAAAAAGAAAAAGAATAATCTACTTATTTCAAAAATTCATTCAATCCACTAAGAGATATTCAAGGCAAATTTATTGCATTCAAATATGCCTAACCATATACCCTCTTTCTACAAATTTATACTATGGTTGAACTCAGCCAGAAAAACTGGCTCTTTGAAAACAAGCAGAGTTCAATCCAATAACTGACTGATAAATGCTTACCATTGAGAATGTGAAAGCTATCATAAATCTGGTTTAATAGAACAAGAAGAGATAGAGTATATGGAGAAGAGTAAATCCTCCTGTCAGTATCCTCCTTTGGCCACAGTGACAATTCCCACCAGAGGCTGGGCCAGATTAGGAACCTCTCTCTGGGCTGCCATTGCAAACCCGTATATATACCTTCATCAGTGCACCTGCTTCATTGCGCTAGAATGGTTGGTCCGACTGTTTGTCCCTCCTTCTAATCCGTGAGTGCCCCGAGAGCAGGGTTCACCTATTCACTCTAGTCTCAACACCTGTTAACAGAGTATGAGCACAGACTGAATTTACCAAATCCATTCAAAATATAACTGCCTAGGGGATGATACCCACCCACATGGTACCACAGGAAAATAAATTCATCTTATATAAACTCTACTTTTTGAATGCAGAGAGATTTTCCAAGTATTAAGGCCAATGTCAAAGACAGGCAGAAATGACTGGCTGTGGGGACAAACAGTCAGCATTTTGAATGCAAAGATTGTCTCTGAACTTTCTCACACAAACTCAAGTTCCTCTTCTAATGGGACCTTCACTTTACCCAGTACACTCATTATCTATCATGTCTCTCACTGACCATGTGGAATATTGAGATATTGGACTAATCATAAGCAACATTTACAGACCTCTGATGTGCCAAACACGGGGCAAAGTTATTTATTGTATTACTTCATTTAATGCTCATTACAACCATATAAGGTGGGTGCTACTGTTTTCATTTCAGACATGATAAAACTGAGGCAAATAATTTGTTTAGTACTTTGCCACAGATCTAAGCAGAACATTAACAAGTCAGTAGCTTGCCAAGCACTCTAATACTCCACCTTCAAGCAGGTGACTAACGCAACTCCTAAGGATAAAAGTCATTTGATTTGTCCTGATAATCCTCAGAATTCAATTCTTAATTTATAACCTCTCCCCACAGTCCAATTTATTATTTTTTTCTTCTAAGAGCTGCGTTTTCCATTTCAGTAAAACCAGCAATGCTATCTAGTTACAAATGATCATAATCATGCATGAGAAATAATTCTCACAAATTGTTTTAATACATTTTATGAACAATAACACAGTCATAAACATAAAACTTTCATGCACTGTTAAATGTACATAAAAGAGCAGCTTGAGATTCAATAGGAAGTTTTATAACTACATTATGTGTATATGGTGAGACAGGTATATATGTGTACTTGTGTGTAAAATTATGTCATGTAATGGTATTGTATGTTAGTGCATATATTTCTGAAACATTTGATTTTGCTGTGTAAATCCCTAATCATCAGAATATATTAATGATAGGCAGTTTGACATTAATAAAAGTCAAACAAAAGTAGCTTTCCTGTCTTAGACCTTGTCAAATCATTTCTGTCTTATTTCATTTCCCATAGGTCCTCTTTCAAAAGGGCTTTTGTCAAAAAGCTATTGATTATCAATAACCTGTGGCATTATCAAAGTTATGTTTCAGTAAATGTCAATTTGGATTGCAGAACAATGGATAAGATTTCATGAAGCACCTACAAGTAGTAAAGTATTGATATGTGGCCTTACGTATCACTACAATAGTTAGAAACATAAGCTGTCTGTGCATTATTAAATGCATAGCTGTAATAATTATCAGGAAGAAAAATAAATCATAATCTCTCTGGTTCTGTAATTTCTCATCGTCTACTTTTCTGAGAACTTGGGTGACTGGTGCTGCATAGACATATCACTTCGGGGGACATATTTGGAAATACAAAAAAATTGATTAAAAATATCAAATTGATGTCTTCTGATTAGGTTCAAACATGAGAAAGCATGTGTACACTCTCACAGTATTATGGTAGCTCTGAGAATCAAGAAGAGGAGATGCTTTTGTTAGGGGAAAGAGTGAATTACACAAAAAAATAGAACAGAAGAAGAATATTTTCCTAGTTTATTTGAAGCATTTTAAAAACATTCTACTGTCTACTGTTCTTGTAGTTATTTCTCGGCCACCAAATTTTTGTGAATAGTCCTACTTTTCTGTGGAAGAGATGCTGGATGAATGAACTCCAAACCTCGGCTGAGACTACAGAACGTGCTCCATCCTTCTCTATACCTAAAAATGCCAGTGTGCACTAATATGTGGCAAAGGGCTGTTGAAATGTGAAATAATTCTTTACAGTAAGTAGATGCTACCCTCCCTGGCCTCCCCACCCCAGCATCCACAGCCCTGTGCACTGATTTCCTGGACCTGCCTTATCCATCAAGTTCAGAATTGGTTTCCTGTTCCAGAGCCCCTTAGGATTGAAGAGTGATGGCACCTAGTAGCTCTCCCCAAATCCCCCAAAGACTTCTGCCCTAAGAGAGCTCCTCTGAGGGAGTGCCCACCAGTCTTGGACACCTGATGAAGTTCCTCGTCCGTACAGCCATCCCCACGTGCTAACCCCACTGGGTCCCCATCAGATTCCAGTCGAAAGAAACAGAACCTTGGGTGATGGTGTGGCACCTTGCAGGCAAATGCCCAGGTGCTTTTGGGTACCAAACCCAGGTCTTGGGAACCTGCTTCCAGCTGGGCTCTTCAAGTCGCCCTCACATGGCCACTTGTGGAAACTGAGAAATAACGGACCTTGACCTGAAGAGTGCCTGAGGTAGACAAAAACAGCAGGTAGCTCTAAAGGCTGTTAAATAATCTGAACACCACCCTTGGATACATCAACCTTCCCTGGTGTTGCAACTGAAAGAGGCAATATAAACGCATAGTATGATTCACTTCCATCAACCTGATATAGCCAGAAGGTCTCACCTTGTGATGTGGCAAAGGTGATGTGCCCTTTTTTTAAGCCCAAATTTATAAACGAGGACATATTCAGTCAATTCCACCCCACCCCCAACACACAGACATACAAAAATTGTACAAAGATTACAACAAATTTCTTTCATAAAAAGGCAAAATTTCTCTAAGTGTATAGTCAATTACAGAAAAAAAAATCAGATCATTCATTAAATTCTTACAGATATCAGAAGATTCCTCTAAAGAGGCTCAAGAATGTCCCTAACATTTCAAAATTGAAGAGAGAATCAAGTCATACCTTTTCTAAAAGTTTATTTATGGGGAAAATCTATTCTGACAAAAGTTATATACTTAAAAATAAAGCATCCCTCCTGGAGAGCTATACACATTAATAGATGTTTATAATGATACTTGCTTTTAGATGAAGCTGATTGGTCCAGTGGCCGATGACTTTGTACTCTGTGCTTTTGTTGGTTATTTGATACTGGAAGATATCATAACGTCCAGGAGCATCTCCGTTTTCATTAAAAGTGACAGGAGTGCCAGCACTGCCTATAAAGATTTAGAAAACAATGTTAATAAAGCTTTAGTAAGATAGCCCACTGGGCTTATTTTTCTTTTAGAAGGAATGGTAGATAAAAATATATTGTGTGCAGTAAGTGATACAAAGATTGCAATCCATACAAGGTCATTCTTGATAGCATAATATCTTTTACATGAAAAGAAGCCTTGACATACATACACGAGTAAGATGTGCTTTATTGTACACATTAGAAAGTAAATGATGAGTATCCAAGTTAAGCAATGCACATAACAGCTAAATAAATAAAAGTTGATAGGCTGAATATTCAATACTGGCTACATAGTATGATAGTTAATAGAGAAAAATGTAAATGTTTTGAAGCATGACAGCTATTGTACAATTCGAACTACTAATAGTAATTCAAATTATAGCAGGAGAATGTTCTGGCCAGAATCCTGAGTTTTGCTTTTTCTAAACTCTCTAAAGCAGTTGCCTTTTCAGTTCCTGTGCCTCTGCTACTTCTGCCCCAGAGTATATCAATGGGGTCTACTGTTGGGAACCTTTCAATGGGTGAGGCAGTGATCTATGGGAAGTCTCAACTCTGCTCAGATCATAAATGTTCTCCCCCTTCACAGTGACAGGTCTAAGAGTGGCAGAGCAGCAGGATACAAGGACTGTAGTCTTTTCTAAACTCCATTCCTGTCGGAGGTTTTCATCTTTTCTCTTAATAGTTTCTGCTCACTTTTACTTTCCCTCTTACTAACTTTTATGTAATTACAGGGGAAGAGTAGAAATGGACCATCACCCCAATGTGTTCTTGTTCCATCTAGCTTCACTAACCATATAGAATTTCCTTTTCTCTAACAGCTTTTAGGCTTCTGTACTTTTTTTTTTTTTAATTCTTTCCTACCTTGAAAAATTCACATGACACCAATCCCTTTTCTCGGTGTCTGTCTTCTCTCTGCAGGCCTCTTCTCTGACTCTCTTCTCACAGGATATTGGATTTAATTTCTATAATGTGCTAGAGAGTTTCCCCTTCTTCTTATCTCTGTCTCATACTATATTCTCCAAAAGTATACATTACTAATAGTTATATATGTCAACTGTACATATTTCCATCTTATAATGAGTTTCTTATTCTATCTGTAGAGTTGTTTACCTAATTACCAGCCATCACAAAATTCCAAACTATTTAACTTATCAAACAAATTGATGACTTTATCAAAAAAGACAATAAGCTGTAAATAAATTTAATCAGAGTCACATAGCATCAATGTGAATACTTTTCCAGTATTTAATGGACAGATGTCTAATATTCTGTTTTCTTGATTCTTCCTAAAAAATCGTGATGTGAGTTCTCTGATGAGACTACAGATATCTGGTATCATCAGGAACTGCTGAGGCTGCAAGAGATGGCACCACATGGGAGAAAGACCACTGCTCTCAGAACTGGAAGTTCCATGTCCAGGCTCACTCCATTCCCCATTGATTTCCACAACTTGTGTACGTCCCTTTTCCTTCACTTACCACAGGGACTTAACAATAAATATGGATAAATTTTGAGGTCCTAAAAGAGCTGTATACATGTAAATTATTATTACTATTATTAATTCACATGGGAAATGACTTTATATATAAATCAACAGATGTACATTACTCAGGGAATAAAATAAGAGCTCTCCAATCAGGCTGTGCTATCTTAGCTACTCCTTATATATTCAAGTGGAACCTATTTGCCAAACCTGACCAAAGCCTTTCTCAGCTCCTAGTGACCACGAGCAGGTTAACCTCTTAAATCCTCAGTTCCTTCATCTGTAAAATGGGAGTAATAATGATACTTTTCTCAAAGAGTTGTTGTGAGAATTAAATAATCAACACTTGTCAAGTGCTTAGAACAGTGTATGGGGATAATTAAATTATTCACTCCACATTTATTTTCAGTACACACCAACACATAGTAATAGAAAAGATGTTGAAAGTTCTCTAAGTGATGGCTAGACAAAAGATTATTGAAATTCAAATGAGGAAGATATTTCTGACTAGAAAAACACATATGTTAAGAATTTCACATTAACACAATCAATTCCTGACATCTATATGTCACTATGAAATATTTGAATTGCATATTCTCTCCTCAATAAAGGGATACTTAATTCTCTCTACTTAAAATATCCCAAGTTGTCACCTCCTTGACTGAGGGACTCCTTATATTCCACAACAGCAGTTCCCAATCTTTTTTACAATCACAGTACCTAAGATGAAATAATGTCACTTGTATAACACATTACCATGAATATAACCTGAGTTATACATAATTCCTAATGTTCTAGCTGTTTCTATATCCAAGTCAAGAAAGCCTCTCAAGAGAGCTCATTGGAGAGCTACATTGTCACAAAATACAATAATTTCCAACTTAGATACTTTGAATATCATTATTAAGATAAGTTACACTACATCTGACAGTGTATTAAGGTGCAATATTCTAAAGTAGTTATGAGTGTGGGTTCTGGAGACAGATCATTGGGTTCAAACGCCACTATGTCACTTATTGACGTAGTATCTTGAGTGCATTTCTTAATTTCCCTATATCTCACATTTCTCAGTTATACAGCGGGCTAACGGCAATTCCCACCTCAGAGGGATATATAAGGATTAAATGAATCAACATATATAAAACATTTAGTACATCATATTATGTATTAACTATAATTTCTTCTGTTGTTTTATGGAAATGTTGTGTTTGAGAGCCACTGTCTATATGAGAACATATAAACTCAGTGAGCACATAAGTTTTCATGATGTCACTCTCATTAATCTCTGTTCTCTTTCAACACAATGCCACTTATACCTAAAATGCAGGTCCCTAAATTCATCATGCTCTATCTCACCGTTCTGTCTTTGCTCATGCTATTTTCTCTAATTTCCCATTCTCTTTCCTCCTTACCCCTCTCTATATAATTCCTTCAAGATATGGTTCAAGGTCCATGCACTTATAGAAGCTTCATCTTACTCCAATCATGGGGAAGGTGCCCAACCACCTCTTTATGTCCTAACATGCAATACCAAAGCCCTCACAACACTCCACAGACTTTTACTAACCATCCTGTACCTGACCAAACATTTATTCCACAGATACTTTTTTAGACCCCACTATGTGTTCAACATTGGGTGGACCCTCTGCAATCCTCACAAAGCTATGGTCTTCTTAGGAAAGGCAAAAGTATCTATTATCACTGTAAGCACTGCAGCAAAGACAGTGCTCAGTCCCAAGCGAGTAATCAGTAGATTATAGGAAAGCATGAAAGAGGCATCCACTAAAGATTCCAAGCAAATCCATGCTTCCCTCTTGGTGACATTATGAACTTCATGTACATTTCCTTCCATCTTTTGTATTCACAAATGGAGAGAACAAATAAATCCTCTCACCTTGCTATTAATGTGACATTAGGGAAACCACAGGGAAACTTTGACATATCTTTGAATGGACTCTGCGTTAATTACCGGTAGCTGAAGTGGTTTTTATTACTGATCACCTTTGCATCTTGTTTTCCTAAAGCGATTTCTAGTCTCAAACTAGGCTTGCAGTTGAATGACTTCAACCCTCTTTCAGGAAGAATTGATTCCATTACATATTGACTCATTTCAAATGACTGCCATGGAACTCTGGTCGATGTAGAAAGAGCATCGTTGAGTAGCCATAAGGAACTAACTCATTTGCTGTTTAATAATTTCTACAAGTTTGCCATCTTTTAAAAATACCATTGTTTGTACTGAAACTGGCCACTCTGAGAAACAGAATTAAGTGCCAAATATTTTTTGTCCACAAAAAAATTTCAAATGACAGATGTTTGTTAATATAGTCATCAATTTATTAAGGTTTAATAACAACACAACACAGGTAAGAAATAAAATTTAAATATATTTGATTAAGCAATATTCACACATATTTTACATGATAAATTACACTCACATTTTCCTGTTTTGTTTCTCTCCATCCTACACTTTAGGTATCTCATAAATTTTGAAGTGTATTAATTTTGTTTTTGAGGAGGGTGGAGGACAGGGTCTCCCTCTGTCACTCAGGCTGGAGCGCAGTGGTGTCATCTTGGCTCACTGTAACATCTACCTCCTAGGATCAAGGGATTCCCCAACCTCGGCCTCCTGAGTAGCTGGGACCACAAGCGTGTGCCATCGTGCCCGGCTAATTTTTGTAATTTTTGGTAGACACAGGGTTTTTCCATGCTGCCCAGGCTGGTCTTGAACTCCTGGGGTCAAACAATCCTCCCACCTTGGCCTCCCAAAATGCTGGGATTACAGGCATGAATAAATGTGCCCAGCCAAAAGTGGATTAATTTTTTAAAATAGTTTTCAGGCTGGGTGCAGTGGCTCATACTTGTAATCCCAGCACTTTGGGAGGCTGAGGTAGGAGGATCTCTTCAGGCCAGGAGCTGAAGACCAGCCTGGACGACACAGTGAGACCCCCCCATCTGTACCAAAAGAGAAATAAGCCAGGCATGGTGGCATGCGCCTGTACTCCTTATTACTCAGGAGGCTGGGGTGGAAAGATCGCTCGAGACTAGGAGCTTGAGGTTACAGTGAACTAGAATTGCGCCACTGCTCTCCAACTCCAAGTGACAGTGCGAGATGCTGTCTTCAAACAAACAAACTTTTCCATCCACATTTGCTAGTGAGGAAATGGAAACAAGCAACATGGAATTGTGAGGTAATGTCTACTCATCAGGTGCTACCCTTAGAGCTCATACATCTCCTTGAATATTTTCTGTTCAGTAAGAAATGTGTCAAAAAATATTTTTATTCATAGGCATCTCAAACACTCCAACATGGTTTTGGAGGGAAAATAATACATTCAACAAAGATTTTTTTTTGAAAATGTTGGCTCTTTTGAATATTGTGCAGGGGAAGAATATGGGCTTGGGATACAGGGACTAGAGTCTGCTTTCTGACTCTACCAATTACCTGTGTGATCTGAGTAAGTTAATCTCCTTAAAAGCCTGTTTTCTCATCTGCC